TGTCGATTGCGCCGTTGAATACATCAAGGTTCGTCGAAACCTTCACTTCTCGTTCAACAAAAACTAATATTCCGACAGGCCAATGACTTTGGTGGTGTTCGTGAAATCCTTCCCTCTTCATGTAAACAGGAGCTAACATTTCCCAGGCTATCAGCCCCCAATCAAGAACCGTGTACTCTGCTCACGAGGGTCAAGTGATGCTAACAGCAACATATCCGCCACACACCAACATTGATAAGAAGGTCTTTGAGGAGAGTCTCCGGGACTTGCTGTCCGTCGAAGGAGAACTATATGCATGGCAAAAATTTCTTGCAACAGAAGCAGGCACCTTCCGACTATGTGCAGAGTTCGTTGATTCCGCAATGGTGGCTCGCGCAATTGAACGCTGCAACAACAAGCTCATTGGTGTATGTATCATCTCTCGCTATTCACCTGATTGGACATCACTAACTTTTGCACAGAATATTCTTGTTAAGTGTGAGATGCACACACCTGATGTTGCAAAGAATCGTGGCACCTCGCGTAACAATTTGGCACAGGCTATAACTCCTACACGTCGCTCAGCTCCTCAAGCTGACATTAGTGATGTACTTGGACACATGTCCCTTCAGGCCCCCCAAACTCCTGGATTTCCTAACAATGCTGCAATGTTCAACTCTGGTAGCCCAAATCCTCAAGGTATTCAATATATGACCACAAATCATTATGGAATGCTACCATCGACCACAGTTCCATACGTCATGAGTGGTATGGGCGGCATGTACACCGGCCAACCTCTGGCCTTCCAGACAGGTTTCCCTGCTGCAATTGCAACAAATCGACCCGCGCAGGTTATGGAGCCTTATGAATCTTTTGCTCCGCAGGCATACTCGCCACACATGTACGCTAGTCACTTTGCTCAACAAGGTGTCCAGCGCTATCCAACCAGTCCACAGGCTTATAGTAACAACTTTGGTTACATGAGTCCTCAGACTCCTAACTCTCGTGACGCAGCCCGCAGTGGTAATCGTCGCCAGCTTCCCGTCGCTCGCACACCCCAGGGACAACTTCGAGGACGCGGAACATCTAATCCTGCTGCTAGTCATCACAATCATGTCGATATCAACAAGATTAATGCTGGCCTTGATGTCAGAACTACTGTAAGTGTTCAATCGTTCCACCAAGCCTGCTCAATTCTAATCTTCTTCTTAGGTGATGTTGAGAAATATCCCAAACAAGGTCGATCAAGCCATGTTAAAGAGCATCGTCGATGAGTCCAGCTTCGGAAGATATGATTTCATGTACCTTCGAATTGACTTCTCGAACGACTGCAATGTCGGTTACGCTTTCATCAATTTTGTTGATCCTATGGACATCATCGAGTTCGTCCTCGCTCGCTCAAACCAAAAGTGGCATCGATTCAAGAGTGATAAAGTTGCAGAAGTCTCCTATGCAACTATCCAAGGCAGAGACTGCTTGATTCAAAAGTTTCGCAACTCTTCTGTTATGCTCGAGCCTCCCCACTACAGACCAAAGGTAGTTCTATCGATAATTGATACTGTCCCATAGATAACTGACAAATTGACGTAGCTCTTCCTAACCCACTCCGATGGAGCTAATGTTGCCGGCTTGGAAGATGAATTTCCTCCATCTGACAATGCTTCCAAGCTCAAGCGAAGCTGCGAGAATGCGGAACATGTTGGTAAGCTATCATCTAATCGTCTTTCAAATTAGTACTTTTGCTAAGACTTTGAAGGGCTTTTTGCGCCAAGTGCTGGCCAACATCTTCGTGATGAGCAACGTCGCCGCCGCTCTCAGTATGACCGAGGTACAAGCCTTGCAGAACGTGAGGAGTATGGCTTTGATGACGACGAGGATGATCTTCATCGCAGCCCTTGTGCTCAAGGCTTCTCACCACATTGTAAGATGGCATTCCTTTACTTCCCTGTTCAAAATATTTTACCCTGTATTTTCGTTACTAACATCCCCTAGATTGAGTAGCTGGACTTTGACCATCCCTTCAAAAGTCATCCATACGATCTGATGTCAATCTCATGCTACCCACTTTGGTTTCTGCCGGCTAGCTATACTCTTGTCAGATACCACCTTTTTCTGGTCTGTTGATTTGCACCAATTTTAACTCACTTGGGGAAGTTTGGGTCAGCCACACGACAAGCCTCATATGGTTTACATTTTGAAGCAGATTGGACGAACCATCTAGTTGACTGTTTCTATTTCTCTTCTTTACACGGAAAAGTTTATCATATTGCTACATATGAACTTGTTTCTTGCGACACCAGAATTCTTTGCTTAAATAAAATACTTTGGCGGTTACATTTGTGGTGGCTTCATGGCCCCGGTTTTGAGCCTAGGTACAACTAGCTTTTGACAATAAAATAGAAGAAATTTTTGCTACCTGTCGATTCAGTCCCTCGTATGATCTTAGATGTGCTTTGTTATCATTTTAGTGAAATTGTCATCCCCATGCATTGAATTGACTTAATTTCGCATAATTGTGACTGCCGTCGCAATGGGTAAGGTCTTGAATTTGAATGGGAAAGTGTTGATGTATATACATGTGGAAGGAAGAGAGAAAAAAGTTGGAATATCTGGAGAAATAGATAGGTTTGTATGGCGTGTCATACGGACATTTTTGTTCAAAACGATTTATTCATCTGATATACTATAATTCGATCTTGAAAGCTATTATCTGATATTTAAAATGATTATATAATACTTTACTATTATCTGATAAAAATGCTCTACTATCATCTAATCTATAATAAAAGTGAATGGAAGTAAGGTAATAATAATAAATAATAAAAAATAACAGGGGTGATAAGATAAAAAACTTAAATAAAGTTTTCAATTTAAGAACAATGATTAAAAAAAATAAGCGAGTGTATATGAATCTTTATTTTATAAAAAAACGAAACGAGAAAATATATTTAAATTAAAAAATGAAAAAATCTTTTAGAATAAATTTCTATTAAAATTCTTTATAAAAAGAAGATTAAAAAGTTAAATTTTATGTTAATATTAACTTTAATATTGAATTTTAATTCGAATATTAATTCTAATACTAATTCTAATACTAATTCTAATACTAATCTAATACTAATTCAATACTAATTCTAATATTAATTCTAATACTAATTCTAATACTAATTCTAATACTAATTCTAATATTAATTCTATTATAGATTATAAGTAAATATATGAGTATAGAATATATATAGAATATAAAAGGAATTAGGACTAATATTAATCTATTATAAAAAGCTAGCTTATTTAACAACTAAAATATAAAAAACATATAATATTTAGGAATTTGTATTATAATATTAAATTTCTTATCCTATATTAGAAGAAAAAAGCTTATATTATATACCTTTTCCATTCTAATCTAGTTTTCCGTTTTTATTGATTTCTTATAGATCTCTTTCTAATCCAATTATTCCTTTAAATAAAATCTCTTTTTATATTTTTTATTAATAAGCTTTTTCTTAATCTTTTATAATTAAAAATAATAACGATTTCATTAATACTCTTTATAATTATTTTAATACTATTTAGGATTTATATCTACACTTATATTATATAGCTTTTAGAATCCTAATTAAAATATAAATTTTAAAGTTTTTGAAGCTATTTAAAGATTATAAACTTTTTAGAATAATAATCTAGATATAAACTTAAATAGAATATATCAACCCCCGAACTTGAATAATAATAATATAATAAGAATATAATAATAATAATAATAATAATAATAATAATAATATAATAATAATAATAATAATAATAATAATAATAATAATAATAATAGAATAATAATATATATAATAATATAATCTAATAAATCTGATAAATCTATCCCCTTCCTCCCCTCTTTACCCTCCCTCTTTCTAATCCCCTCCTCTTTCTAATCCCTCTCCCTCTTTCTAATCCCCTCCTCCTCCCCCTTCCCTTTCTAATCCCCTCCTCCTCCCCCCCTCCCCTTTCTAATCTCCTCCCCTTTCTAATCTCCTCCTCTTTCTAATCCCCCTCCCCCTCCTCTTTCTAATCCCTCTCCCTCTCTCTAATCCCTCTTCCTCTCTCTAATCCCTCTCCCTCTTTCTAATCCCCTCCTCCTCCCCCTTCCCTTTCTAATCCCCTCCTCCTCCCCCTCCCCTTTCTAATTTCTTTCCTCTTTCTAATCCCATCTCTCTTATCGCAAATCCCAAACCTCCAAACCAATCAAAAACATTTATTCAACTCTTTAAAATCTTCAAATCTTCAATCTCTTCAATTCATTCTCTAATTAATTATTTCTTTCATTAATTATAACTTATTAATAAAAAAATTATATCATTAAAAAACTCTCAATTCATAAAATCCTAAAATCCCTCTCAATCTCATTTCATAAACTCTCTACTCTTAATTTATTGATTAATTTGAATTCTAGCATTTTGATATTATTTTAATATTCACATACAAACCTTATATACTTTCTAAATCAATCAGCTTCCAATTATAAACTATATTTTAAATCCTATATATTAAAAATAATCGTTTTCGAAATCTAATATAATTATTTTCGAAAACTAATAATAATCATTTTCAAAAACTAAATACAATCGTTTTCGTATAATCGCTTTCGGAAGCTTATAAACGACGATCACATGATTAATCATATGATCCTGTAAATCGCTCTTAATATAATATATAAATATAAAACTATATATATATATATAAAGATATATTATTATATTATTTTTTATATAAAAACAATAAATTCTAATACTAATTCTAATACTAATTCTAATACTAATTCTAATACTAATATTAATTTTCAATTATAGTAAATTATATTATTCTTATTATTATCTTTAATCCCTAATTCTTTTTTTTTATAAAATAATAGAATAATGGAATAATAGAATAATAGAATAATAAAATAATAGAATAATAGAATAATAGAATAATAGAATAATAGAATAATAGAATAATAATCAGATGATAATAGTATTTTTATTAGATGAAATTTTTTATTAGATAATATAAATAATCTGATCATTATCATCTAAAATCGTTTTGAACAAAAATGTCCGCATGACACGCCATAGGTTTGGTGTCATTTGTGGGATTGGTTGGTGTTGTTTTTTTGGGATGCTTTTGACTACGAACTCATGGCTAGAACATCGAGTTGAGAAATCCACTAGTGATCTTAGAGAAACGTCTTCACTTGACGAAACTGTTTCAGCAACGCTTCGCAATTTTTTGCAGAAATATGAATCTACCTGATATTTATTGAATTGTCCGTTCATTCAGATTGAATGCCTTCAAAGACAGCTGCAAATTTTTCCTCGCACACTTCGCATTGCCTCAACATTAAATCTTCCATGACGAATGTTGGGCTTGTGGCTGATCCTTTACAACTTCTACTTCTTTCGAGCAACCAAAGTTGCCATCGGTGACCTCCATATCACGCCCCGCTTTCCCATATCGACAGCCTTCTTCCGATAGAGATACGCGGCCATCTTCGCTTCTTCGGCACTCAATCCATTCCGAGACGATAGCAATTGTATGGAAAGCGCTATGGTGCGCGATTGCCACTCAACCACCAGGTCGTTTATTTCTGGGTTTTTAGAGGGTGCAAATGTGTGGTCGGTCACATGCACATCTTCGACGGGTAAGTTTTGAAGGATCTTTTCTACGTCGTCGGGTGGATCGAAGGAAAATCCTAGGTCGCCACAGTATTTGAACATCTGGTCTACCCCGGCTTTCCACAAGGGGTCGCTTTCGTCAGAGGAGTGTGTCATCTTGAGGCCGTTGCGGTAGGACACGTCGGTCCATTGGAGATATCCACCGGGTTCTGTGTTGGTTAGTTACGGTTTGTTGGTGTGGGCTTGGAGATTGAGAACGCCTCTTCTTACTGAGTAACTCGACTAGATTCTCTACAACGCCTTTGATCTGTTCGGCTTTCAGAGCGAGCACAACGAGTCGTACATGCACGACATCGAAGGTGCCGTAGTATTCTTTAGGAAAACTCTTCGTCATATCCCATAATACAAACTTATGTTCCGAAGCAGCATTCTTGGGGAATTGGCCAGGAGAAATATCAAACCCTACTGTCTCCTGAAGGTTGTATCCTCCGTTTTCAAATTCCTCAGCTAATTCTCTGAGCCAAATGCTGAGTAAGAGTCAGTATTGGATTTTGTAACCTAAAGGAATAATGCTATCATACCCGGTACCCGTTGCTACATCTGCTACTCTGGACACATTTTGCTTGGGGATTCGGGGGTCAAGGATGTGTCCGTCTCGGATAACTCTGATGGCGCTGCTCTGTCCGTCTAGCCTGGGATATATGTTAGTACATACGAGAAGTCAAAGTGTCTCCTGAGATTCACACCTGTCTCTCTCTTCCTCGTCTCTTTTATTAAACAAGTAAAGTTCCTGATCCGGTGATTCTATATCGACTGTAGTGACTGTAGTAGTCGCCGATTCAGCAGTGGCAGTCGCCCTCTCTACCGCTGACGTTTCCATCCTCAATACGAGCGACAAGGATGAGTGCGTGTAGATACTTATAGTTCGAATTTCGACACCACAGATGAGTATTGACACAAAAGGTCAAGAAAAGGATTTCAGATAGAATGCCGACAAAATCGAAGATAAAAAAAGTGAAGTCTTTTTATGATAACCGTCGATACAGCATGGCTCTCAGTGCCCCTCTTCATCACATGGTGTGGAAAAGGAGACAAGCCAACGACTAACCACATCCGACACAATGGCCATGTTCCATTGCAGCATACACGATTTTCAGCTGTTCATTGTTCAATCACGAAGTCGGCTTTAGCGAAAAGAGGCAAGACAAGCGATGATACCCCTGTGTACCTAGGTACCTAGGTATTCGTGGGAATTCCGCACTGCCGAAAATATAATGTTCTGGAAAAATTACCCTGTAGAATCGGCGTCTTAGGGCGGCTGTTCAATATGTTTGAGCAAACGTGCCGATGAAGATTTTGAGGTTCGATGATGCAGGGGTTTGTGCACCCCACACTTCCTCCCCAATCACGTCGTGTATCTTGACTTACATCCTGTTGAGACGGCTGATTGATGACTGCTCATATGAACATTATCGTATCCACTTATCAGTTGAACTAATCCGAACGTAGCGAGGTATTACTCAGGGTTCATTTATAAATCGATAGCAGCAGGTCTACGCGTTACTACGCTATGCGCATTCCGCATTCTGACTAGTAGCGGCGGCGACATTCGTAATCTCTCAGTTGCTATCTATGTCCACCTCTCAGGAAGTAAGCTTCCGCGCTACATTTTGCATTGATGATCTGGGGGGATTGAGTTAGTGTAAAGGACGCACAGTGGCATGTGCAAGTTCCGACATAGGATAGACTCGCAGTTATCTGAGTTTGTAGTTAGCTGTTATATACATGTTCATTCTGACAATTCGAACGTGTATCTATGCATATAGTCCAATAAACACGTGGAGCACATGAGGAAGCTCTAGTATAGTAACTCCCAGGTAGCATTACCCAGGTGGTGTCAAATGTAATCGAAAGCATTAATTGTATGGAGTTGAAGTTTGGGAGGCATTGCAACCTATTGTTCAGAGAGCAAGCTTAAAAAGCTCACATGCAATAAGTACGAGTACCATAAAGAGCTGGCTGAGTACGGAGCTCAATATGAAAACTTTTGTCATAGAAAAATACTCTATGGACTCGCAAGAGGAAGCAGTTTCAAGATGCACATCATGTATCTAAGAGAGCCCTTACCACAATTAAGCTATCTTTGTGGCGTTGTGTCAATGCAAACTCTGTAGCCTCTAGCCCTTCGATCGAAGCCTTAAGTGTCGATGACTACATTCTTCACAATAGCTTCTCTCTACAACATCTTTCGAATCCAGAAGCACGTGATCGGTTTCATCTATCTAGCTTGGCAGGTAGGCGCGTGAGGCCTAAGAGCTGGAGAGCTAGGTGCTTTGTTCGTAGACTGCGGATAGTGTACCCCATTGTGTTAAGTATCAACCCACTGGGTATGTATTGGTTGATAGGATAGTAACACCGAGTGTAAGATATGTGGTGGAGAGACGTACGTCGGGCCTGAGAGAAGGAAGGAGGCTTTGTGGTAGTCCCACAGGCAGTCAATCTCCGAACATTGATGATCAATTGAAGCTTTCCTTTGCTCTTCTCAGACTGTCACTATGTGAGTAAAATGGCCGGTGTGAACTTGCTGCCTTTATGGAATATTTATTGTACATCCTTTTCCTCGACCGATAGAAAATTAGCTCAAGTATAATTTGGATGCTAACGCCGCGTTTCTAGAAGACCACTTTTCGTGGTCAGAACAGGTATGTCGTTGTAATTGAAAGATAATCATACTACATGTTCCTAATCATATAGAGCTTTCTATGATCTGCCTCAAGACTCGAGTTCAAATGTTGCGACTTAGCCCATTCCCGTCACAATGATACAGAGGGCAAATGGGTTATTCCACTCTATTTTCTCCTTTCACTTGAGACGAGCTGTGTATCCCTTGGATCAACGATCATAATCATCCATAGATCTGCAGAAGCTATGATCACGATAACTGCCATTAAATTGCCAGATCTTTGGTACAATATGTTGTATCGGGATCGATAATGCCATTATCATTTATGCTCGCCCAATCCACTACCTCGGGCTCCTATATTGCAGAAAAACGATTCCAAAGCAGATTGGTTACTGGTTGCGAGGTAATCAAGGTTCCAGTATTGGCTAAAGCTACTCGAAAACGACTCTATGCAAGGCTCTAGATCTAGTACTGGCATAAGAGATTTCTTTAAATGGACGTCCAGGCTATTCAGAATGCCCGATGCAGCCTTGGCAATGTCATTCTGATCCCCATCACGTCAAACCGCTTCATCGCCCATTCAAACTGTGAAAGGGAGTCGGCTAGATCATCTATATTCTTTTAAGAATACATGATAAATATGGCACCTAGGATAATTGCAGCGCCGAGAGCTTGTATGTTTAGACAGAAGATCCTATAATAGAGGATATCGAACAAGCCTTTTTGACAGTATAGGACTTCAAGGGTAGCTTTGAAAGCTGAAGCCTTGCTGAATTCAGGTACCACCACAGAACTTTTGAGAAATGACGTGCGTAGGATTCGCGCTTGAACGGTAATCGAAGTGGTATGCTCCTTGTCTAGTAGAGCCACGAGTGAGTTGTCAGATTGGCCATAGTCGCCCACGACACTATCAAATGACATGACGATGAGATGTTTGAGGGATTCCAAGGTAGGATTGTACTCCGGTGGTGAAAATTGGAGACTGATACTGAAATACTGAAAGAAACAACACAGGAAGGAACTTTACATCTTCCGACAATCCAAGTGCAGCCTTTTCAAGCATAAAAAAGGATGAACTATTCCAACTCTTGAGACTATCTCGGAAAATGTCTTCATCCAATGGATGGTATCGATCGCCAACTTCTCGGAACAAAGTCTCAAGGAAGCTTCCGATAACCACTCTGAAGGAAGTTGGCGAATTAAGTTCTTGTACTTCTCTAATAGCACGCTCTTGTCTATCGCTATCAATGGAAACTTTGGTAAAGAGGAACTTGGCTCCGTGTCGTGGCTCTATACCGTTTTCAAGATACCAAGCGTTGTGCTGTTATTCCCACTAGACTTCGCAAATTCAAATGCGCTGACCTGAGACATGGGGCATGGCTCAAGCTCTATGACTTCAGATGATTTTTCGTCGTCGAATGAGACATTTATACTTTTCCCCAACATTCGCCACTTTTTGGTAATTTCTTTTCCAAAATGGCATGCCGATTGCTCGTTTCAAACAAGACAATTAGACAAGGAAATGAGTGATTGCACTTAAACTTGTTGATACTAGAAATAGCATTGTGCCTGCTCTAACAACGTTTGCTTACGCAAATATCTTCTGTGCGCGAGAACACTTTCCTATCCCCCTTACAACAGGTTTTCAATAAACTGCAGAGTTTCGATAACAAATCTTTTCGAGGTGTTCTGTCGCTTTGCTCTCAGCCATGACTTTGCACGGGGAATTGCGTGTCTCTACTTATTATTATTAAGGGTGACCTGTTGCTGGAGACTTGACGATACACCCGCGCCATGGCTCACGTTCTTGCAGCCACACAATGTAAGAATCTGTAATCTATGGCGTCAAGTTCCATGATCTTTTGGCAATCGAGGTCATCACACCAAGTGGCGGACACGCAGACTTTGCTTGATTTGCCGTATATCCTGATCTTTCCTATCGTTCGGTCCCGTAACTGCAGTGGTCGTTATCAAAATTGACTGAGCCGTCTCCGTGATACGTTTCTTTCTATAGCCGACTCCATTTCTTCATCCACGGTTAGAATTTCCCATATTCAAGAAGAAGTATCGGATGATTTCCAGATGTGCTACGAATAGATTTGTTTCGACTTCGAATTCTTGGAGCGGAATAATTTGACCTTGGGCGGAGATATTTCGGATCAAGATAGGGCAACGGTTTTCCCAATGAGGATTTCCCAGGGGATTGACCCACTCACTTCAAACACCATCGTCAAAACTTCAGACAACAAACACGAGATTTTCAATTTCTTTACTTCCTTTCGTCCAAAATACCTTGGCACTGGTTTCAACGTTGCTGTCCTACTGCAAAGTCTGGTCTGATTATTTGCCGTTAATCTATACAAAGCTCATTGCCGCTCAAAACCCCATCTTAACAGTCCCTCCTTGGCAGCGGGTCAGACGTCTTGGATTCTTTACTTATCAGGATAATATCTTAGTATTCTTCTAATTCTTCTAATTCTTCAAACTTTGGGCAGAAGACGCGAGGTAGTATCCTTGCGTCCTGTATCACAATCTTCCGTCGAGGCAACGAAGAGTCTTTTGTATCTAAGTTTGGCGTCAAAGTAAGCTTGCTTTGACTTCCAAGATCTGTCATCTGAAAAGTCTGATACGGCGAACATCTGAACAATATGATACAACGAGCGTACAGGCATGAGATGACGACCTTGGTTTGTTTCTGAAATCGTTTTCAATGGGTGGGAATTAGTTCCTCTTCTTGCTCAGTACTGAGAAAGTACCGACCTCAGTGACAGGCAGGCAAAAATATTCCCAAGATCCACGTTGCCTGCAACAGATTTTGTAGGAGAATTGCATTGTTATTCAGGAGGCGATATGAGCTATTACCCCATGACGAACTTGTATCGTGAAGTTTTGCTAGTACACAGTTCTTAAAAGGCAGGAGAATTTTCCTTTTTACCGTTTGTACATCTACATCCGCATCTCCAGTTGTGTTCGCAATTCTCTCTTTTTCATTACACCTTAGACTCTTTCAATTCTGTACAGGATCCCGGCGATTCTCCTATAATCTAACTCTTATTCATTCATTTATTAGTGCAGGACACCTTCCTTACCGTCAATATGTATACTTCTATTTTATTTCAAGCGGCATTATTGTCCGTCGCTCAAGCCCACGGTGTTATCCTTGCTGCTCAAGGTATCGCAGGATCCCCCGCAAGTGTTGGATTTAAAGGTAAACTTCCAATCTAAATTTCCCCATATTTCGGGACATTAATCTAATTTAATTTGCTTAGTCGACGATGCTATCGCAAGAAATTGTACCGGCATCAGTCCTTGTCAACAAGACACAACCATTATTCGTGATTCCGAAATCAAAGCCAACATCGTCAATGAATGTGGCCGTACGGAACTGAGCGGCAACATTGATGTAGGAGAAAGCACCGAAAATGCTCTCTCCGCCAATGCGGTCACAAAAGTCAAAGCCGGTACACTGATGACCGTCACCATCCATCAAGTCAACGCAGATGGAGCCGGCCCCTACACCTGTGATCTCGACCAAACTAGCAATGCTGGTGTCATTTCTCAAAATTTAACCGTCACCAATAACGTACCAGGAGTCAACGGACTATCCCAAGCCAAAACTCAAGACTTCAACATCACAGTTCAAATGCCCGACAACCTTGCCTGCACCGGTGCCTCAACTGGAAATATCTGCACCGTCCGTTGCCGTAACAATGCCGTTGCTGGTCCCTTTGGTGGTTGTTTTGCCGTTCAACAAACCGACATTGCTGCTACCAATAACAGCGCCAATACTATCTCCACCGCACAAACACTCAAAGCAATCGAAGCACAAGTCCAAGAGAACAACGTTGATCTTCCCGTTGCTGTTGCTGCTAATCAAGCCGCTGGTTCCGCTGACGGCGTAAAGGGTTTCAATGGTGCTAATGGTATGCCAATCCCAATCTCACAACGATAACATATAACTAACAAAACCAACAGCCCTTCTCAGCGCCTCCATAACATCCAAAGCAGCCCCTGTCATGACCCTCGCTGTAGAAAATGTAGGCGTCAACGCAGCTGTTGCATCTACAACCTCGTCCACCTCATCCGCAAAAGCAACCGCAACCACTGCCGCCAAAGGAAACGGCAAAGGAAATGCCAATGCGAAGGGTAACGGAAACGGAAACGGAAATGGAAGAAATAATAATAATAAGGCGAGAGGATCGAGTTTGAAGTGGGCCAGTAGACTATTTGCGGCTGATAGCTGGGAAGAGCCTTCGAACTAGACTTTAGTGGTGCTGTATAGTGGATTTCAAGTAGAAGATGCGAATAGATCCCGGAGGTGCATGTCAAGAGATATCTATTTGATGAGAATGGAAGATGCTTTTTTTTAATGTATATAAACATATTTGGAGGGATAACTTTGGGGCATGTATACATGAGATGTGGACGAATGAATTGAAAGATTGGAAGATTGACAGATTATTTGTGCTCTCCGAATTGCAAGTGGATCGAATGTGCTCGAGTAGGAATAATATCCTAGAATTCGAGTGCGTTGCAATGTACCCTCTCGCGTTGCCATTGATCTGGGCATGTATAACTCTAGGCTGTACTTCTAATCAAGTCAAAAGAAACCAGCCAATCCAGAAAGTGCGGAATGAAAGATTATAACATTGCATCTTCTTGCACATCCGCGATATCCGGTTGATACACGTGGACGATAGCTCTTGGGTCTTTGATCCCTTCTTGATCTATCTAAGCTACATTCTGAGCCTTCTCGTCGGAACATTTCACCCATTCTTTTCCCAAGCTATCACTGGTGCGATGGATGGATTCATCCAAATACAGCTACCACGTGCATAATAACGCACTTTCCTCGACACATCATACAGGCATCTAATCCGTCTTGTCATTTCACGATCTCCCTAGATACATCATAAAACAGCACAATTTCAAGCATTCAACCAAGCCAAGGTAGGTAGGTGAAATAGCAAATTCGTAAAGTAAGGTAGCCCTAAGTTTTTTTTCTTCATCATCATCATAAAGATAAGAAAAAAATGTATCCATAAGTCATCAATCATAATTTCGAGAAAATCAATCGCCGCGCAGAAGAAGCGCGAGCCCCCAATGCAACGCCCACTCATAACATCATGTTTATGTTCATGATCCACCCACCATCTCAAACGCTCAAACAGGTTTTCCTCCATGCAATGCATCGCTATCCCCCACAAAGAGTGTAACCTCCGTCTTCATCACCTGTAACAATCGCACCATGCAAAACCACAACATAAAAACCCTCCCACCATCTTCCTCTGGCATTTCTCTCGCCACTCGCTTACCTGCTCACTACAAACAAGCACTCAATCACCACAACGCAACCACCCAAAGGTAAAACATGGAGGAAAGTTGCCTCTCCGTAAAGACCGTGTACAGAAATATCGAGTCGCCTCATTTTCTCCACGAGATTCCGGTGCTGTGATACCCAAGAAAATCGTGGCCCCATTCGTCATACACAATAGCATTTTGCAATAGTATTTGTATCTTGTAGATATTGTAGATTCTTGATCATTCCGCTCCAAACAAAACAAGATTTCATGAGAAAGCAAGAAGGAAATGTAAAAGAGTTAAGGAAATTCGTGCAATTCGTTGATCTCATGATGATGTGAATGAATGAAATGGATGAAAATTCAGTATCTGGAAAAGTTCGTCAAGGAAGTCGTTAATAGCATCGTGCTAGTGGAATATTCTTTCCTTTTGATAATATGCCGCCCGTAATGATCCGTCTTTGTCATGGATAGTCGTAAGTCGTAATTTTTCATTTGCCTCGGGGTCCCTGCTGTATCGTTTCATGTATAGGTGGGTAGTACGTAGTGCATCGCATTGCACCAACATGGATTCGCCGGCAGTCACTTCTTAACTGCCGACAGTCATTGGGTATCTGATGTCTCTATTTTCCGATTCGGAAGATGTGCTCGAGGAGCTGCTACTGAGCGTTACGGAATGTTGCCGCTGACGATCATTTCTCCTCTTGTTGCGGCTGGCCGTCTCGTTGGCAGGCAATCCTTGGATGACGCCATTACGAGCCAACATCCCTCCATTAACTGACGACTGACGGCAAACCATAAAGGCCTGTGTGGCGGCATTCTCCTGAGCCAAGGCATCGGTTTGGTATGCTAGATCTGTTTGGTACTCCTGTCCATTGACGAGAACGAGACAAGTGAAGCCTTGTGCGTCGCGGTACGTCTTGTACTGGGGACCTTGCCAGCCTCGTCGACGGCACAAATCTGTCTACATGTCAGCGGGTAGACTAGGGATTTTGTTGCACAATTTGAATTCTGAGAGTGAATGTAACGCTGGCGTTCATAATGTTGACCCCATCAGGAATAGCATATCCATTGGGGCGTGTTTGGTAGCGCAGCGGGATTATGGATCCCAAGAAGACGGTGACAGATGAACATAGTGAGGCGATCAACTCAGCCCTCTTTTGATGCAACGCCGGCCAGGGCAGGGTTATATCAAGAAGTCCAATCGAATACAAATTCCCACAGAGGTGATGAAGAAAAAGTTCCGAACTGATGAACCAACGTACTCTCTAAATATGCCATGTAGAACCCCATTTTGGTATTCTTAAGATGTCAGAGTGTGATCGGATCCCCAAGACAGAAGGTATGCCCGTCGTCTGAAGTGTGGTAAGACACCCCGTCCTCGATCGATATCAGGCAGTGAGTATGCCTTGAATTTAGATAAGTGCCGAACGCTACAGATCTGACGATATGGATGCAATTGAGCCCAATGTTTAAGGTATACAGGGAAATATGCACACACTCAGTGCCGTGTATGTGAATACAATGATGTATGGATAGTGTTGTGGTGTTGAAGAATAAGGCTGACTATGATTGAGTGGATGTTCTAGGGGTTCTGTGCAGGACTTTCCTTCATTAATGGCGAGACATGTGTGATTTATTGCAGAGTCTAATGGTTAGCGTTGAACAAGGATCATGGAGTGATTTCCCGTAGCAGAATCGAGAAGCTGTTTAGATAGGACAATGGCTTGAACCACCTGCAAGTCATGAATGCGGCTCTTTGGATATGATGGCGAGCGATGTGTTGGCGTGTGCCGTTGCCAGTGATAATATATCAACATAATTAGGCAAACTCCACCACAGCATGGGAACGCATAGAAGCGATGATCTTGGATAGCTTGAACGTACCAAATCTCCGTTCTGAGAAACATCTGCAGATGTTGAAATTGTCGATGCAGCGGGGTGGCAAAAAGAGCTCGCGAGATACCTTGTCCCACTGATCCGGACAAAATATGGGAACATGCCATTACCATGGGGGTGAGTAAAAAGTTTGCGGACCGCGAGCAGAGAGAAAGAGCCAAGACTCAATGGATACTGTAGCATCATGGATGGATGGCAAAAAAGATGAGTAAATCTTCAGCAATTACGGACTTTTTCCCAGAGAGATCCGCTGGGTTGGCCACTAATGAAAAGAAATCGATGGCATTACAAAAGTACCATGGGTCCGAATGCAAGAAAAACGTCAATATTGCTCGCTAGGTCAGGGACATAATCCTCCAGAAACTCATCTAATTGTACCTACCATCTACCGATACATTGACATTGAATCCTTTGACCCCAAAATGGCTTGTGCTTTCCTTGAAATGGTGCCATTGAGTGCTTGTTAATAACAAATGTGGAAAGATTGAAGGCGTTTCCTGTTCTCGGGATATGTCTCTATTGCCCCGCACTACCACGGTACATTTGGGGTCGGAAAGGAGAGACGAGAGAAAGAGAGAAAGAGATCGCAACAAGCAGCGCGATTGACGCGGAATGACTGGAGTACGGCTTGACACGAAGTCGGTGAGCCTTCAGTGCATGAACAGTGGCTGGAATTGACCGGCCTTCACCATCGAGTATTGTGCTTCAATATTTGTGATAGTTGATTCGCGAAGGGATCAAGAAAAGATGCGAGGCAAAAATCAGCCAGGTCTACTACTAACCGTAAACAAGGTTGTGGTGCGTATGCTTGATGAGTTGGCAGTGCGCTTGACATCTCGATAGTAATGATTATATGCCGTTGAGATTGAAAATGGTATAACGGTAAAGTATATTAAGCAAAGCGTGAAGATACCGTAGATCTAGAAGTTAACGAGTCGCTGGTCGGATGTACTCTAGATGTATGAAGTGTGTAGACGACTCTGGAGTCTGCGGTTGGAAGGAATAAGTTTGAGAAGATTATTCGTTGATGGTTCGTGGAAACAAAGGCTTTTCCCCTTGATCCCTCCATGGAACAATCAAACCCCGAGAATGTCAAACGACACAAACAACCTTATGCAGCACAAAGTACGATAAATAATCTGGTTAATCGTGCTATCTTTCGAAATATCCAGAATTACCAGCTTCCTCTTTGGTTTACGGCTTTCATTTATTTTGGAAGATTATGGGAAGGACCGTCGCACCGTCCCGTTCTGAAGATTCAACCGTTACATTGACCAGGTACTTGGGGGACATCTTTCACAATTGAGCCATTGGCAGACTTCCCATTGCAATCGAGCGAGCATATGTACCAAGTAAGAAGCCTGCAGATTTCCAATCGCCATTGATCATACCGAGAATCCTACCGTTTGATACGAATGCAGGCTCGGGGACATTAGAATACGGCCGTGAGAAGTTGATCTGACATGAAAGAAGATGCATCGAGATTTGAATCGTTCCAATTTGCATCATCTACAAGTTCAACCTCCTCTCGTTTAACCCAGACCTAGCTTCCGCTCTACTGACCAAGATAGGTGGCGAGTCGGAAGAAACTGCTCTAGGGGAAAGTAATTGATTCGTAAGTACGCGATGTGGGTATATGATACAAAAAAAGTACAAGACAGTGGAAATGGCCTGCAGGTTGCAGATGTAGCAGGCTCTATGCAACTAGCGAGTAAGTGAAGGGGTTCTCTCTTTCTCCTCTTGCGAGGGAGAGGGGAAATCATCCTGTACCTAGGTCCTTCAAGCAACGAAGTGGAATCAAACTGCATGTGCGGACAACAATTACTGGAGCTGGAACTTCTACATACAGCATCTAAAGTACAGATCAAAAATAGTATCTATCTCCGAAGCTCCCCCAAAGTCGGGAACCCTCTCGGATCCTGGATCCATTGATACCGGTACCATGATACGACATGTCCTCCAAACTCCAACACAACTCCAACACAACAACACACACACAACACACACTTCACATGGTCGACCCAATATGTATCGTGTTGCCATATCCACTCCTCACTTGTACAAGAATAACAAAGTAGTTGGTGGTACCTTGCGGTGAGCTCATGACGATTCAATGAGACCGAAAACAGTTGGTAGAACCCGAACCGACCAATCTTCAATGTGGGGGGGGGTGACCTCGACCACCAGTTTTCCATTCGATCTTCTTGTTATCCCGATAAATTGGCGAACCATGAGAAAAGAACTTCCCCAAAGCATCCACTCTCGGTCTCCACTTTCCCACCAGTCTAGTAAAAATCTACTCGGTATCAAAACGGAATAAAATGCGAAGGGAGACCTTCATGCACTGCATGCAACTTACCAAGGAGCTACAGTAGGTACCTAGCAATATAGTCTCTTTATGATCTATCATATGAATTTCGTGTGAAGAGAGCTTAACAAATCCTTCGTTCTTTTCCGGAACCGAACAAACACTTCAGTACGACGTATCTCGTAACTGCCACCTAGGTTGCCATTGGGGTTAATGTATCTCACAAACGCCGCTTGCTTTTAAATCAACACAATTTTCCAGTCACGTTCAAATGTTGACCCTGCTGGCAACAAAGAAAAAAGGACAACAATCGGGCCATTCTCAAGCTCAGCCACCGGGAAAATGGAAGATCCAATTGATCGGTTGGACTTAACTAACGCATCGTTGAATATGTCTCGCGGGAAAATAGATTATGTACATCACGTGATACGTAAAACCCACCCTCGTCGCCGACGAAGTGTGAAACTGGCGCCATCTATATGTGCAGACTTTTCATCCCATAAATACCAATCCCGAGCCAATGTAAATTCAGCCCATATATTCAGAATGTTGGTACGTTTTAAAAGGTCCCTTTTGAAGCGAAGTATGCCCGTGTCTCCTCAGCAACGCCTTCTGGTATCACGAAAACCGGGTGGAGAGTCCCCACCCTATCCTCTTCATCATATATCTGTGTTGTCTCAACATAAGGCTCGGCCGTCCATTGATACGGTGAAACGAGCGTTCCACTCGATTCCGTTTTCTGTGCAGACGTGTTGAAATGCCACTTATGCTGTGCGGAACTAAGACCTGCCAAAACATAGCATGTGTGATACGAATCAGAGCGACTATAATAGAAGATCAGCATTCATGTGGAGCGGAAAAGAAGAGATCGGCTCTTCATGCTTACTGGCTGGGCTTATCCCTCAATCCACCCCGATTTCCTGTATCCTGACAACAGCAGAGGATGTACCTGATCAAACCGTCGCGGCTGTAGAGATTTACCGAATCTGGATTCGAGAATGGCCCTGTTTGAGTTTGCTGCGTTGGACCTTCAAGGCACGCTTCTAATAGAGGCCAGCATCCTCCAACCCAATGGGAGTAGCACCCGTCGACTAACTTATTCGTGCGACCTGAGAAGCCGCCTTCCGGCGCATATTGACGTGCTGATAGCCATGAAATAAAGCCGGGTACGTCAAGATACCTAGATATGTGTTAGCATAGTGATTCGTGGATGATTATAGATATGCAATTTTGACCTACTGAGGTATCATGATGTGTGGTTCACCTAAAATGCACAAACAGCCTAATGCTAAGAACGCATACGCGCCATGGGCTTCGACATTAGGTCGAGCACCTATACCGCCCTCAAATGTTTGACCTATTCTATTAGCACAAGTTTTAATTTCTTCTTTGTTTTGAACATACATCTCGAGATCCATTCCGGAAGTCCATCGATGAAAGTAGTATAGTTTGATGATCTCGCCGGAGCATCTTGGGGAAGATCGAGAGGTAAACTTAGGAGTGTAATGAGAATCAGAGCACAATATGCACCACTTTGAAAAGTATCAGTTACCCGTCCTCCATCGTCCTACTTCCGGAAGGCTTACCGAATATCTTCCTCGCCACCTACAGCCATTCTAAACCCCCCAGTAGACATTTTCAAGCTACCTAGCCATTTCCACATTGCTTTGCGATCAATGATATCCAAAGCTTCTTGCCCACCTACCATGGAAATTGATAGAATGTTTGCATAGGTAGTGGCCAAATGTGACATCTGACCATTTCCTCCACCAAACCCTCCAGTCGCATTCTGTATGGGTCGACATGTTGAAATGATTTTTTGTCGATATGATGATACATCTTCTCCCAGGGTTGAGAGACCAGCCAATGCCCAGTAGAACATCCATGGTCTGCTTGCATCAGCAGCGACATATGCCGAGGGCAACTTTTGTAGATTCTTATGAAGGAACTGAATATGCTTTTTTCGATTCAGATGTGGAACCCCATATGGATTATAGGTCAATCCAGCTTCTTTTCCCGAAAGAAAAGGAAGACATTCTTGAATGGTTTGATCTTGAAGATGAGATGTCTGAGTCTGCAACTGATCGTGGAGTAGGGGATACTCCGTGAAGGTATCGGGAATCATATTCATAAAAGCCTCTGCTGTGATTGGTCGGGATGAGCCGTAAACTATATCTTCATCAGTTCCAGCCTCAATATCTGCTTGGGATGATGAAGATTCTTGTATAATAAAACCAGATTTTTGTGCTTGATTTTCTAGCGAATCATCATTCAAAAGTTGATCTAGTTTGCTGGAAGGAGATAGAGATGAAGACTTTTTATTCGAGTCCTTCTTCTCTTCCATTGCACGTCGATTGAACTTCACACTATGGTGAGTCTTCTTTCCTTTGATAGTGAAAGTCATGTGGGTTGGTTGTTTTTTTTGTCTAAGATTCCAGGAATACAATGATCTTCGATTATGATTCGCTATTGGCCTTTACTATTGTTTTACAGATGGATGTTTCGAGGTTGACCAGGTCAGTGCTCGCTTACAAAAAAAGCTTACCACAAGAGCCACAGAAGGCTACCAAAGCGTGAAAGTCCATCTTTATCTCGTAGGTATCCCGAGGTCTTTATCAAAAATCCGCATTTGGGTGAATTTGTACCATTGCCGATGTAGAATCTTTGTGTTCAATATGCCGACATAGAATCTTTGTGTTCAAAATTCAACTGAAGATGCAATGCAAGCAACGTTCCATATGTCTTCCACGATTGTTCCAAAGATCCAAAAATGTAATTCTGTTGCAACACATTTACAATTGCATTCGCATTTGCATTTACATTCACGAAATGCAAGTTGCCGCAAGGCGAGACTGCAAGCAAGTTAAATCTCTCTATTTTGATAATTGGGCTGTCATCCTTCGGCCATTGCCGACCTATGATTACTGGTGGTACAGTGCCATTTTGCCCAAAGCATGTATCTGCAGATGTTGAATGCCAGCCAGGGCTCTATAATTCGTTCGGGAGCCTGATCAATTCTACGACCTTTTGCCCTTTCCCTCGCAGTACATCAAATCCGCATCATAAAGCACAATGGTGAAGGATGTATGTAACCTGAGGATAGTGGCAAATAATTGTTGACGGCTCAAAGGAAGCTTTGAAGGAAGAGAAGAAGAGATAATCATACATAGAACATGAGATGACAACTCTTCTCCGACACTGACAAATCTCCAATTTCACAACAAAACGTTTCACTACTTAACAGGGGGCGCGGTATGCGAGGAATATGTCGGCATGCGCTGATTTGCAGAACGTTTTCGGATTGACCAATAAAGAGATCCGAAAGGAAATTCATCCGCTGCAGGCGTGTGGTGTTGACTCTTGAGTCTTGAGGCGTTTTTGCATGAATGTCGATATGCAGCTATCGGAGGGATGGGCCGTTCTATTAGAGGATAGGATACGAGGAATTTTTAATCAAGAAGCCATCGTGGGTTACACTGCTTGGATAGCACCTACTCAATCAATACATGTTGTAAATGAAAGTAGGTATTGGTGCCAAGTTAATGATGAAATTGCGAAACGATGAGGGGAAGGAGGGGTGGAAAATGAGGGGCATAAATGTTAATCGCATATGGCGGCTGTTCGTTGATTGCTTTTTTATCTTATCATACAATCTTCGTACCTGGTGGTGTCTCAGATCTCGTTGGCACGTTGTCAAGGTCCACCAGTAATTCATCTATGCGGTGCGAATGTAGACACACATTGTACCAGACAGGATAGTTGAGATATTCTCAATCCGAAATTGTTTCGACAGAAGGCATTTGTGAAATGCCGGTAGATATCTAGTTAGGCACGGGAGGGTGGTACAAGGCGAACGTAAGCAGCATAGCGTTAATCATTGATGAAGATCATCTATTATCACTCCGATAAGAATTGATTGTGGTTGAGGTTGAATTGAGTTCATTGCAATTTGCAGGACGGGATGCCCTGGTTCGCTGCTACCTCAATGTTGCATCTCTGACGCCTCCTTCGTGTAGAATATACGGAGTATGGAGATGAGATAGAAAGTTACAGTCGATGGACGGTCAGAATCCTCATTTGATTACTGTACATGTAGGTAAATGAAATGGTGGTCACCATCTTACCATATTCTTCCAGGTCCCATCACCCATACACAGGATAACTGCCCGGTTCATCATACACTCCAAGTTCTTGTAGAGTCAGTTCTCGAGGTTTGACAACGCTTGAAACAAAGTTTAGACCGAATTGGATTTTTCTGGATTGTGATAGCTCGGATGCTAAGCTCACTCTACCCTCTCGGGTCTAGGCGAAAGATCTGACATGCCGAAGCCAAAAAGAGAGACGTGCACTCAACAAACGAGGGGATTTTGAAGAAATTTGAGAAAAAACTTCGTAGGGAGAGGCAGAGAGGGTCCAGGGGACCATCTTATCATCGTTGGCGTCGTAGATGTGGGAAAGGGTTTAAAAAAAGCATACAAAACTCTAATCGTAGGATAGATCCGAAAGATATTGATTGGCAGAGCAACCATTGAGTCAAAATGGAGACCTCAGCCATCTCAATTGGAGATTCCCAAAGTCTTTAGTCGGATGTCCAGAACCTCTTCTAGCAATCGCCACTGAAATCATTCGATCTCGTCTACTCCGTCCATATAGCGTTCGGGAATCCATTTCATGATTTGTTGTTCCAGTAGATTTTCATGTCCTGTACGGAGCACTATTTATTGACAGGTGTTGTTCTTGACTCAAATTAGTGGTAAGTAGGTAGGGAAAGCCTAGCACCCGCTATTATATAGCCATTGTTTTAGGTACTGCGCCGCTAATTCGAGCATCATTGATCAATCGTAGCTACTCACAGGCTATTTCTCCACTTCCCTAACTTCCAGCCCCTCTTGAAAAATAGAGGGTTAACTTACAGTGGGAGCCCACTAGGTATCAAGCTACTCTGAGTCTTAAGACTCCTTCCAATCACTATTGCTTGTTATTTTCATGGGTGAGCCCTGAAAACTGCTCTGTCTTCCAGGGACTTCTCCAAAATCTACCATAGAAATCGAATCCATTGGACACATGACTTCTCTGCTCGCAGTAGTCTCATGCTGCCCCATGCAGTAAGAAGACGCTTGTGGTTCCAGCCGTCACACCTGATTCGGCGAAGGCTTGCCAGTGGGCTCAAAATGGCTGGGGTCGTATAAGTTTGCCGAAATCCCACACCGCTCCTTATGTGGATCCTACCCTCACCCTACGAACTTCTACTACCAATAGGCCACACACCGACTAACATCGTGAGGTTTTCCTCTTCTTCAAAGAGCGGTGTCTTCGACCCTCTTTCTTACAATACTATTGACCATTCCAACAAGTAATCCGCGACAATGAGCTCAAATCTTGACTTCTCGCCAGAAGGTCTGTTAGACCTTTCGTTCGAGCAACGTGACCCACGATACCAATTTACCAATATGACTACGCGTTCGACTTGGCCATTGCCGTTGGATATGGCCTCAGGAGGATCTGACGACCGACGGGAAACTTCGCCAGGACATAGTGGACACCAACAGTATCAAACCGGACATCATCATAATTCTCCCACGTTATTGACAGATTGGCCGATACAACAGCAACCACAGCATTTGTCACCCCAGCAACTTTCCCCTCAGCAATTGTCGCAATTTATCCCGGATAACTCGTTGATGGGACCACAATATACATTCGGCAGCCCGTACCAAACTTCACCTCTCGACTATGGCTTACCTGCAACCACACAAGCAGCTCTCGAAGCCAGTCTCCAGATGGAAGCTCCATTCAACGGACTCACACAGACGGTCGAGGCACAGGCGAATCAATGGCAGGATTGGCATGAATTCGAGTATGCGATGAATTTTACCTCGAACCATGGAATCCCAAGTATAGGACGACAAAGTCTGGGAAGCAACTCACCGACGGGTACGTACTTGGAAGTGCTCTCGTTACCCAGTTCGAGTAGCGATCACGGATGGTCGACAGTCGATACGTACCAGGATTTCAACACCTATCAACAAGCGCAAAACCAAGCAATTTTCAACCCCGGACAAACACTACATTTGCGAAGTCACTCGGATTCGTCGCAATCTGATGGTCACCAATCGATAGATACGTTTGGCAGTTTTGAGGATTTGTCAGGATATCCATATTCGCCGTACTCACCGGGCTCGGATAGCTATTTGGATGTGACGGGTGGACACAGGAATTGTTTCCACGGCGAAGCACACCACCACAGCCACGATATTATCAGTCCCGCCGCGGCCGTTCCCCCGCAACCCATTCAAGCTCCATCTACGAAATCCACGGCGGCTTCAACAACCTCCAACCGCACCTCCCCATCCAACACCTCATCGCCTCCCGCGAGAAGAAACTCCGCACCCCGCAAGAGCCCCACGGCCAAAGCCACCAAACCGGTCATCCGCCGCACCTCCAACGGAAAGAAGGATGCCCCCCCAACTGAGAAGCGCGTTGGACGAAGACGCGGCCCCTTATTACCAGAGCAGCGCAAACAAGCTAGCGAAATAAGGAAATTGCGAGCCTGTCTCCGCTGTAAATTCTTGAAGAAGACGTGCGACAAGGGTGAGCCCTGTGCGGGATGTCAACCTTCGCACGCTCGTTTGTGGCAGGTGCCGTGTACGCGTATCGATATCAAGGATATTGGTTACTTCATGAAGGACTGGAAGGCGGATTATGAACGTCACGTGGGGAGAGGTGTGTCTGTTTACAATATCAAGGGATTCTCGCAAAAGGAGGAGTTGCTTTGGATTACTCATGGGTATGGATTTGCTCTGCCGATTATGGCGAGAGAGGTTTATGTGAGTGATGATAGTTGCTTTAACGTCGACTGGGTTGAGGGTGATCACGAAGAACCCATCGAGTTTGAAACTCGCACCGAGAGAATGTCTGCTGGTTCCGAAGGTGTCTCGAATGAAGCATTATCTGAGTACCTCGATAAACACATTGATGGGCCTTTTGAAGAATTCATCGATGAGTATTTTGAGGGCACCCCATTCATTACCGAGATCTTGAAGACCGCTCACCGCTACTACATGAAAGAGAAGGTTTCCGTTGTCCGCAAGGCATTGAAACTCGTTCTTGCCTACAACCTCACCTTGCACGTTACCATGGTCGAGCAAAGAGGAGACGAGCACCCGATGGAAGGAATCATCGAAGACGAGGACTCCAAATTCAACGGAAAGGTCGTCGCTCCCGTCATGATCAATTTCCAAATCAAATGTGCCCTCGCCGACATGTGGCGTGAACTTCAAAAGGAGATTCTCGAGGAATTATCCTCGCTCTACTCTAGCGTGTACAGTGGCGACAGACTCAAGAACTGGCCTACAATCTTCATGCTTGCATCGATTCTCCTCGCCGTATGGGAAGAAATGCAATTTGATTGTCATTACCGCGTTCCCGACCAAGCAGCCGTCAACAAATTCTGCAACGATATGGAAACCACCCCAGTAGGTGTCATTGTCGGATTATTCCATGCCATCTCTCAAAAACTCCCTGCGTTTACCGATTGGGAAACGAGAAGACACGGTCAACTCCTCAACAACAACGTAGCTGTCTGCGAAGCCATGACCGAAATGAGAGGTCACGTAACCAAGCATGGTTTGTTCCCCCCCCCCCCCCCCCCAAACAATCCAACACAACACAACACAACTAACCCACTCCATCTAGAATCCTACCTCAAAACCCGACCGGACGCCAAATTCGACCGTCGCGACTTCGACTGTCTCTCCAACAAATTCCTCTCCAAACTCGTCATTCGCGCAAATTAATCCTCCTCCTCCATCTATGCCCATTTGCAGATATATACCTACCTACCTACCTACCCACCTACCGCCCGCTATATAAACCCCCTCCTGTACAAACCCGTTACCCATCTCCGGTTTCCGGTACCAAGATAACGAATTCAATGCTCTTCATGACCACCCATGACATGATATGAAAAAAAGAAAACGATTGCAGGAATATGTTTTTCCACCTTTTCTCTTTCTCTCTCTTTTAGAGAAAGCTAGAAAAAACAACGAATGAAAAGAATAATTTGTTAATTTCCTATTTTTATTTTACCTATTTTTTTGGTCAACGGCATAGCGTTTTGGTTGTTTTTTGAAATTTTTCCTCTTATTTTTTTTTCTTCTCCTTTTCTTTTCAATCTTTTATCAATCATCAATCATCATCCTCATCCGAAGCAAAAAGTTTCCTCCCTCCCTCCCCAATCAACTCAACGACCCCTTTTAACGAAACAAACGAAACACGTTGATTTTTGTTGTTCCATGTATGTATGCATGTATGTTTGTATATCTGATCAGATTTTCAAGAATTCCTCTCTTTGAATCTCCATCTCATCATTCCATACATAAACACATACATACATACATACAAACCAACAAAATCCACCCCCCCTTTAACGAAGATCATGGAATTTAAAGAACGCTTAACGTTTACATGTCAATGTTTTTATGTTTCTACGGACCCCCATGTTATTTTTATTATTCATTATTCACTATTCACTATTCATCTATCCCTCTCACTGCGTTTTCTTTCCCAGCCTCTCACGGAATAAATGGATGGAGAGAGAGAGGTGTTTATTTTATTTTATTTACTCTCATCTGATCTGATCTTGTTGTCCTGGTTTCTCTCAAGCGTTTATTTAAAAGAAGGCAGAAGAAATGATCGAAGTAACTGCCGAAATATGAACCCTATGAAAAGATTATTATTATGGCATGGCGTGCATTGAACTTATTTATCTCTCGATTTGTTTTTCTCTCTCTCTTTTTTTGTCTATGGAATGGGGGAAATCAATGCGGCATGCGATGGGATGGGATGAAAGATGGGCGAAGAGCAATAGCGCGAGCGAGGGGTGTTTTTTAGCTGCGAGAGAGAGAGAGAGAGAGAGAGTATGGAGAAGGAGGAGGAGGGTGTGTATACGAAGTTATTGGTTGCTGGACGCAAGAAAGGCATATTTTTATACATGGGGAGAATTTTCGGGGAGGGAAGGGTCGTAGATAAAAACACCAAAATTTAAAGCCTTTTCACTTGATGAATATTGAAGATTTTTGAAGATGTTGATACTTTGATGTGCTTGTTGTAGTGCTTGTTGTATGTTTCTTCTGAATATTTAGATGTATGCCTAGTATGTTGTGCATTTTGAAATTCGAATTTTGGATAGATACTTGTTTGTGTAGGCTGATTGGTACTTGTTCGTATACTTGTAAAATACCCTCACTTTGTATAATGAGGACTTACTTAGGGGTTTCTTCGGTGATCTCTCGGATGCAAGATGCTGACTGTTGCGTTCTTTTATATGCACGCCGCACGCACTTATCACCGGCCAGGGAATCGAAAAGATGGAATGAATTAAACTTTGGGATTGATCGGATGAAAAGATTTGATGGCTTGTTTCTTGAGAAAGAATTTACATTTCTGCTAGGTTTTCAGTGTGAAGGCGTTGGATGATAAAATCGAGAGGCAAAGAAAGCCAAATCTAGAATTCACGAGACAAAGGAAAATTTGTATGCGTAGCCCAATCCTTTCAAAAAGAGGTTATGTATTTGAGGCCCATCAATGTATGTAGACGTGGGTTGAATAGCTGTAAACTTACTCGCATCTTCAATAATACCACCTACAACGTATGTAGAGATTGTACGTCCTTACCTCTCATCTTCCCATCAGTTTTGCATCCATTCATTGCCGACTTGCCAGACAGATTCGGAGTTTTTGACCGGTGTCCCAAGATATTCTCTTCGAAAAGGGCTGGCATCTCCGAGGCCTCATCGGGGTTTCTGGTACCAGATACACATATGAGAGGAATCATACGTTCTTTCCCTCTTTGAACCTTGGAAATGGGTCAGCTGCTGACCAAGTGTACCAAGAAAAAGGATTTATTTATGTAGGAGTATGCACACTGTTTCTCTGCTTCTGTATTGCGTTGTCCAATTTATGCACCTGCATTTGGGTCCTGGATTGGTCGGTCATGGACAGGCCGATATTGAAAGTTGACTGAATGATCCATTTGATTGCAAGAATCAGGGATGTTGATACCATTTTTCATTTCCTTAATCTGTGATCCTTTATCTATTCTCGTGATTGGGATTGCAATATTGAGCAGGGAAATGACGTATCATGAAAGGAAACCCTTTTTATAGATTTGGATGATTTGGAGAGGAGAGTAAAGTTTGGATTATGCGATAACTTGCTGCTACTTGCTAGTGCATTGCGAGATATTCTATGCAGGAGTTTGAAACGGAAAGTGCATCGGATTGTGTACAACTGGCAGTTTTTGGCTGCAAGGTGCAGATTTAAGTTAAGCATCAAGCATTGAGACTGAGACTGAGACTAAGACTGAGACCAAGACTGAGAGACGACGAGTAGAAAGGCAATCAATTATTGGAACTGCAATAGAGACATCTGATGGATGGGTCCGAGTACGGAGGCGATGAGGCGATGCAAAGCAAAAGAAGGAAAAAAGAGAGAGGTTGGAAGAAAGGTTGATGGTTGATGGTTGATGATATGATAAACGTTGTCCTTCCTTTCCATGATTCATTCATCTATTGATTCTCTTCATCGTAAAGCCAAATCCCAGTTGAGCGAGACCGAGTTGAGGTAGAAGGCGGGGTTAATGGCAAACTAATCCATTATAGGAAAGGTCTAGAGCTGATAAGGGGGAGTTGCTCAGTTCTCAAGGTGTTGACGGTGTTGACGGTGTTGACGGTGTTGACGGTGTTGACGGTGTTGACGTTCGAAATTTGAGTATATTCATCATTCATCACCTCTGGACAGTATTACCTCGTACCAAGAAAATATGGTTGATTATGGTGTGAATGCGAGCAAGCAGTATGAATGATTAAAGGACAATATGGATATGGATGTGAACGTACGATGACTAAGAAGAATTTATCCAGTAATGAAGTATTCCGTAGAAAGTATCGTACACCGTATTGATTTATAATCATTCATCTACTCCGGTACTCGTACTCACCTGTTACTATTCACTCAGGTCCAGATTCCGAGAAGATTCCATTCTCCTTTCCAAATCCATATGTACAGCCTCGGAAGATTCAGGCTGAATCGAGAGAACGAGAGAATCTATCGATTGAATAGAAATCCCTAGAAGGAACGAGTCAACGGTGAGTAAAGAAGGCGAAGGCGCAGCAGTACCTACCTTGATATCCATACGCCTCCTACCTATGGACCTATGGACCTATGGACCGGTGATTCATTCACTCATTCTTACTAAACTCTAAAAGGTGGCGTGGCGCTAAGCGATAAGGCAAGTTCAATGCGGTTCCTCCTTTGAATACCTACTTAAACACTCCATCTCACCCTCCAACGTCTCCCTCTTTCTTCCATCATACAACTCCATCAACTCTCTCTCTCCACCACAACTTCTTTTGATTTTCAATAAATCATCATCTACAATATCATCTACTTCATCAAAAGATTAATACTATAAAAACATCATCATGCAGATCTTCGTCAAGACTCGTAAGTTGTCACCTCTCCGTTTGCCGCATGCGAGTGGCATTGCCACTTCACTTCCCAAAGCAGCTTCCATCAACACTTTCATCAATAATTCTATCAAAAACATCTGCTAACATATATTTGCTACAGTCACCGGAAAGACCATCACCCTTGAGGTGGAATCTTCCGATACCATCGACAACGTCAAGGCCAAGATCCAGGATAAGGAGGGAATCCCACCTGACCAACAGCGTTTGATTTTCGCCGGAAAGCAACTTGAGGATGGTCGCACTTTGAGTGATTACAACATCCAAAAGGAGTCCACTCTCCATCTCGTTCTCCGCCTTCGTGGTGGTATGCAAATCTGTAAGTTGATCACTATTGCCTTCGCATTCCGCCACAGTTTACTAACATCAACACAGTCGTCAAGACTCTTACTGGTAAGACCATCACTCTCGAGGTTGAGTCTTCCGATACCATCGACAATGTCAAGGCCAAGATCCAAGACAAGGAAGGCATTCCTCCTGATCAACAGCGTTTGATTTTTGCCGGTAAACAACTCGAGGACGGTCGTACCCTCTCCGATTACAACATTCAAAAGGAATCTACTCTTCACTTGGTCCTCAGACTTCGTGGTGGTATGCAAATCTTCGTCAAGACCCTCACTGGAAAGACAATCACTTTGGAGGTTGAGTCATCAGACACTATCGACAATGTGAAGGCTAAGATCCAAGATAAGGAGGGTATCCCACCTGATCAACAACGTCTTATCTTTGCTGGTAAGCAACTTGAAGATGGCCGCACTCTTTCCGACTACAACATCCAAAAGGAATCAACCTTACATTTGGTCCTTCGTCTTCGTGGTGGTATGCAGATTTTCGTTAAGACCCTGACTGGAAAGACCATTACATTAGAAGTAGAATCGTCAGATACTATTGATAACGTTAAGGCTAAGATCCAAGACAAGGAGGGTATCCCACCCGACCAACAACGATTGATCTTTGCTGGAAAGCAGTTGGAGGACGGTAGAACTCTTTCGGATTACAACATCCAAAAGGAATCCACATTGCACTTGGTGCTTCGTCTTCGTGGTGGTCAATAAATGTTTCTGATTCTATCTGCACATATACTCTTTAGGCGTTTAACGATGACCTGATCCAATGGTGTTATGGGGGGGGCTGGGTTAGCAGGTTCTCATCATAGTGCACTGGCATGTGCCACAATATTGATAGTATTCAATAGTCAAAACTATATTTTTGACATTTAACTCTACACTCTTATGAATGTGATATTGGATAAATGATTGTGATTGTAATTGTAATTAGCATGTAAACAGTAAATACCATTGCTTCACTTCCTTATCGTACATAAAATGGAGTTGGAGATAATGACGGTGTTATGCTCCACTACATCCACTCATGAAGCTAAAGTGATGCAAGGCTGCAGCCGCACAATGAAATTTATATCCCAGAACCTTTCATGTCCACAATACCTTGTGTGCTACAACACCTGAAGAATTACTTTTTGATACGAACGCAACTCTGATGCGATAAACTACCTATTAACAATCCATATCTACTCTTCGGGCTTTTAATTGCCAGACGCAGTTTTTCCAACGAGCAGCCCGCGCCACGGTTCCCGCAAGCCCCCACCACGAAGCTTTCGCATGGCATTCGTTTCATGCAGTCGTGAAAGAAATTATGAATGAATGAAGAAGTATGCCATCGTACTTTTATCATCTCAAATTCGAATTGTATCCTTTACCAGATTTAGACCCAGAGAAAGTGAGTAAGAGAGAAAGGGAGAGGGAAGTGTGGGTTCCTGGTGAGGGAACGGATATTTTTGGCTGTACACCATCATCCACAGGCGGAGCTTGCGCCTGGCCGAAGCATAAACCTGTTCTTTGGGAACAACATAGGAGGAGAAAGGGAGGCACTGGGAGCTCGGCAGGTTCTGTGCTGGAAAGAAGCTCGAGAGATATTATAAAGGGAACTGAGAATCAAATACAGGCAGGCAGTTTGCAGGGTGCCCAGAACGGAGATCTAGGTTCGGAAGTAGCAAAAGGGGGAGTCATTGATTGCGGACCTTCACGACAGACACGACCTGACGAGTCGAGAAATCTGATAGTATTGAGCACGACGAAAAATTCGCAATTAGAAATCGCACCTCCGAGCGCGAGTTTGGTGGGTAAGAAAAGAGATCTGCGAACTTCGAAAAGGGATTGGAGGTTTGGGAGGGTTAGGGTTGAAGCATTGGATATGGATGGCGCGAGGGGATATCATCGTAGAGGGGAGGGTAGCCAGGGTGGTATCGTCATGAATGCTGGGCTAGAACCGGGTGGTCGAGTTACAAAGGCGAGATTCGAGGAATTACATACTATAGGGGAGGATGGGTTAGAGTTGAAGAATACGGAGGTGGGATGGGGAGTGGTGCATTTGTATAGGGAGGGGGAGGAAACACCTGGATTGATGGGGGTGGAAGTTTATAACGCAGATACTGCGGCGAATCCCACGAATGATGCACAAAGTAACGGGTCGAGTGAGTCCGATGGAAAAGATAGTGCAGAGGATTGTACTTTACTGTGCATACCTGCTGTGCCGAGTTATCTTACGCCGAGAGATTTCTTGGGATTTGTGGGAGAGAAGACAATGTATGAGGTTAGCCATTTTAGAATGGTTATGACGGGGCGGATGAACAGGTATATGGTGCTTATGAAGTTTAGAGATGGCAATGTGGCAAAGAAATGGAAGGCAGAATGGGATGGTAAAGTCTTTAATAGTATGGAGGTATGTTTTCACTTTGGTAGAAGATATCTTTGTTTAGAACTGACGATATTCAATATAGCCAGAAACCTGCCATGTCATGTTTATAAAGTCAATCACTTTCCAAACTCCCACCTCCTCTAAATCAAATACAAGTTTTCCAGAACTATCCCACGATCCTTTTACACCAGCTCCGATGCAAAATAACCTCAAACCTTTCCCTCCTCCAACTCCAAATCTCGTCGAACTTCCTACCTGTCCTGTCTGCCTCGAAAGAATGGACGATACAACGGGCCTCTTTACGATTCTCTGTCAACATGTCTTTCACTGTGCATGTCTCGAAAAATGGCGTGGCACAGGTTGTCCCGTTTGTCGACATACCAATCCCTCACTAGCGATCGCTTCTCAACAGTCTACTACACCCTATGATCCCGACAATCCACCGTTTGGAAGTGGTGAAGCATCACTATGTAGTGTTTGCGATTGCACAGATGATCTCTGGATCTGTCTCATATGCGGAAACGTCGGATGTGGACGCTACAAAGGCGGGCACGCCAAAGAACACTGGAAAGATTCGGCGCATAACTTTGCCCTGGAAATCGAAACCCAACATGTATGGGATTACGCGGGTGATATTTGGGTTCATCGACTCATTCGCGATAAAGGTGATAACAGTAAAGTCATCGAACTCCCCTCGTCACGTTCCAGGGGTGCGTTGGCGCCCGCAGATAATGTGGATATGGTTCCGCGGGAAAAACTCGAAAATGCAGGATTGGAATTCACGCATCTCTTGACGTCGCAGTTGGAGAGTCAGAGGGTTTATTTCGAGGAATTGGTCGGCAAAGCGGTTGCGAAGGCGAGCGCGGCGAGTGAGAAAGCTAGTCTTGCGAGTCGCGATGCGGAAGTGGCGTTGGGGAGGTTGAGGGAGTTGGAGGAGAAGTATCGGAAGTTGAGTGAGGATACGCTGCCGAGTTTGGAGAGGGAGTTGGAGAGGGAGAAGAGGAAGGCGGAGAAGGCGCAGGAGATTGCGAGGGCGATGGGGAAGAGTTTGAGGGAGGAGAAGAAGGTTTCGGAGGGGTTGATGGAGAGGATTGGGTTTGTGAATGAGGGGGTTAGGCAGAAGGAGGAGGAGATGAGAGGGGTGAGGGAGGAATGTGAGGAGTTGAGGGAGGCGAATAGGGATTTGATGGTTATGATTAGTGGCAGGGAGAAGATTAGGGAGATGGAGGAGGCGGGGGAGTTGGGTGAGGGTGAGGCGGAGGCCGCGGGGGTTAGTGTGGGGGAGAAGGAGAAGGAGAAGGAGAAGGACGGGGAGAAGAGGAAGAAGGGGAAGGGAAAGGGGAAGAAATAGGGATGCGGATGGGGACTGATGACTGATGATGAGAAGAAAAGCTTTTATTTTGGCGTAACATATCATGGTTTGGCGATGGGGTTCTAGGTTGGCTGGCGTAATTGGGAAACGAAACGATAGGAATTGAGGTGGGATTGTATTGCATTGCATTGCATTTCTTGCTCGATACATGGAATGAATGAATGAATGCATGAATGCATGAATGAATGAAGGAATCAATACAATGTATCTCTACAAGCAGTCAGTAGGTACAGTCAGGTCTATAGGTAAATCAAAAGGAAACACATATTATGTATATCTCGTATATCTCGTATATATTCATCAGAAAGATGTGTGAAAATGTTATTCGGTCTATACATGCATATCTATCTAGGTATATACCTGAGATCCATTTCTCTCATGTTTCTTTCTCTCTCTCTCTCTCTCTCTCTCTCTCTTCTTCTTCACTTCCCAAAATATACAAATACAATACAATATAAATAAATTACAATACAAATAAATTACAATATAAATAAATTATAATATAAATAAATTACAATACAAATAAATTACAATATAAATAAATTACAATACAAATAAATTACAATACAAATAAATTACAATATAAATAAATTACAATACAAATAAATTACAATACAAATAAATTACAATACAAATAAATTACAATACAAATAAATTACAATACAAATAAATTACAATATAAATAAATTACAATACAAATAAATCACAATACAAATCACAATACAAATAAATCACAATACAAATCACAATACAAATCACAATACAAATCACAATACAATTCACAATACAATTCACAATACAATTCACAACTCACAACTCTACAACTTAATTTATAATTCCAAGGTTGCCTCATCTCAACCATTCATTTCAATCAACTTTTTATTTCAATGAGAGGAGATATCAATCAATCATATATAGATATGCATGCATGCCACATTGCATACCCAATACCATAACTAACCATCCATACCAACATCCCTACACATATACATACATACACCATACCCTCCGACCAAGAGCAACAAAAAAGAACAGAGCAGAACAAGCACCATTGAAATTTGAAAACAGTCTTGGAAAAAAAAAATTGCAAATGTTCATCTCTAGAATTTCTTTGGCCCCCCCAGAAAGAAAAGAAAAAATTGCATGCATCCATAAAAACATGTAATGCGTGACCCTTTTAACCCCCAAAGCCAAAAGCCAAAGCCCGAATTCAATAAGATACGATAGAGAAATGGCAAAAAACGGCCAGGTAATGAAGTCCATCCATGAATTACTTTACTCCTTCCCTTCCTCGTACCCTCATTTCTTCTCTCCACAACTTTTCATCCAAAAAGGTATCTCTGATCATTTTTCCTCTACTTCATATCTGTTACTCGTCCAGCGATCCTTTCCCTCCTTACATAATAATGGCCGGAACGTCAACATTAGCCTTGATGCTCTTATGTGGGAGAATGCTACCTCCGTTTACATAAATCTCATCACCAATCGTAACGTCGTCACCCAATACACTGACATTTTCCAAACGTGCCCATTTACCGATAGTAGAGTTCCAGCCTACGATGGTGCTCTTGACCCAAGCGTGATCCTTGACTTTGGAGCCCTCGAGGAGAACACAACGTTGTAAACGAACACCATCACCGATAACAACATTAGGACCAATTGTTACGTTGGGACCAATGCGGCAGTTCTTGCCAATCTTGGCAGAAGGATCGATCAAGACATTGCCGCCGTGTACGTATGGGGTATTGGGTGGAGTAAGGAGCTTGGAGCCCTTCTTGGTAAGGGAGGAGAGATAAAGACAAGTTCCGGAGAGGAAATCCTTGGGTTGCCCAACATCCATCCAGAATCCTTCCAAGTCGAAAGAGTGCAATTGACCATCGGCGCAAATGGCAGGGAAAGTCTCTTGTTCGATGGAGGTTGGGCGGAGGTCGATGCGCTTGAGGACACTTGGGTTCAAGATGTAGATACCAGCGTTAATGCGGTTTCCAACGAATTCGACCGGCTTCTCTACGAATCGATCGATTCTGGATGCGTGGTTTGGCTTATGGACAACGACACCATATTTGGATGGTTCTTCAACCTTGGTTACGACAATGGTACCTTCATCACCGTGCTTCTTGTGGAAAGCAGCCAAATCTGCGAAAGGATATTCACAGATGACATCCGAGTTAAGAACGAAGAAAGGAGCATCATCCTTTCCGAGAATTTCTTCTGCGAGCTTCAGAGGACCGGCTGTACCTAATGGTTCGGATTCGATGGAGAATGTGATTTTAACGTTGAATCTTTCTTCGTACTATGTGTGCCTGCATTAACTTCTGCGGTGTAACCCAAGAATTTTTTTCTGGGTGGTAGTAGTGAATCATACCTCAGCCAAATACTTTTCCATAACCTCTGGACGATAATTGACGGCCAACACAATATCTGTAACTCCAGCTTCTGCCAAGGCTTCAACTTGGTGCAAAATCATGCGCTTGTTACCGAATTCGACTAAAGGTTTTGGGAGGGTCAGAGTCTATGGGTGACAGTCAGTTGAAAGCTCTGTAGCTTGTGCGAAGGGCGCCATGTAGATTTCGAGTATGGTATCATGGCATTGGGAGAACGTACGAGTGGGCGGAGACGGGTGCCAAAGCCACCGACAAGAATGAGAGCTGTGTGAATATGTTAGCGATGCATTGCCAAAAGGACTGCGAATGCGGAGGCCGCGTACCCTTCATTTTGATAGTTTGGAAGAAGTGAAATGTGTAGAAAGGTTGTATGTAATTCTCGTTCTACCCCACAGTTTAAGAGGATAAGAACAAGTGTCGAGAAGATCTAAGATTGAGTTGGATGTTGATCACCACGTCTACTTGATGGAAGATGGTGAATGTAGAGGTGTCCTTGTGAATTGGATATGCTCAAGCACGATTGGAATTGTGAAGGAGAAAAGAAGGGGTAGATGGTACAATTAAAATTGATTCGAAATAGAAATCAACGAATGTATGTGTTGCTATTAAAGGATGTAGCAAAGAGAAGATGGAATTGAATTAAAAAAGTTCAAAGTTGTCTTCTTGTGTTGTCGTTGTTGAAGTTGGAAAGAATTTATGTTGAGAAGATGTTTAAGTGTACGGTAAGTGTAAGTGTATGTGTGAGTATAAGTGTGAGTATAAGTGTGCGTACAAAGTAGTAATAAGGGTTTGGGGGGGTCGTATGAGAGAAGGCCACTGTGTCAATGGATGGATGGATTGATGGATGGATGGATGCTACTAACTACTAACAACTACTACTAACTAGGTACCTAGGTAATAATCATTCAATCTATTTTGGGGGAGGGAGAGGGGATGGGATGGAGGGATGAACAGTATCTCAGTCAATTCTCGTCAACCGTTTGATCGTACTGGGGAAAGGGGCTACGCAGTTAAGCCGTAGAAGGAATCAAATCAAAATAATAAGTGGCTCTTCATGGCTCTCGAATAAGATTGAAGATTAAAAGGTTGCATTCATGCCATTCAATTGGCTCCAAGTTATATAATCCAATGAATTCCATCCAAAGAACACGTTCTCGACTGTTATATGGTCGACTCTAACTTCTCTTGCTAGCGTGTTTAAAATTGAAGGACATAGGTACTCCGTGGTCGAATGATTGAAGTTGATGATATTCCTGGGGAGGTGGTAGCTATATGGCTTGGGTCCAATGGCACGATGCATATTCTCATGACAGTATTGCCTGCTCGCATCATATATTGTATGTATTATATTAGATGTATTATATATATGTATTACTCAATGCTGGCGTGCGTGCACTCCTATTCCTTCGACTCATGTATGGTTGACGATATATACTATTATATAAACAGAAAAGTCAAATGACTGCGGGTAGGTACGGTACGGATAGCGAAAGGATGTACAATGTAAAGATTGGCACATCTCGACAAATGCATGGTAGTTGAGATGTAATAGAGACCTATGTCGTACCTAGGTAACATGTAGTAAAGTATCTATCCAACACATCCATATCGCTCGTAGACAGTTACTTATTCACATATCATGACTTTGAAAATAGGAGTACCGCTACACGAATATTAAGGTTAGAAAGAAATCAAAACTACCTCTCTGTCGCCCTAGTATGTATATGTAAGGTTAATAAGTCTTGGCCTATAATAAGGGTACCCCGTTAATCTTCATCTTACAAGCAACCTCCTTCATCCCCCTATTCGCAAACTCAAAAAGATTGAAGATGCCATGTCGAAGTGTGTCTACATCGTATCCCCTTTCCATCCATCTTACATATCATGATTTAATCCCCCCAATATAATCATCACCATCACCACTACCACCAATACAACACCACACACCACAACACAATACCTCCAAACCTCACGACAAACTTCCCCATCGGAATTCAAGCAGCAAGAATCGTATCAAAAACTAGTCATCCTCTCGTGTTCTTCAATGGCATAAAAGTCGTAAGATCTACTGATACATGCTTCCCCCCCTTCATCCCCCTTCATACGAGGTGGTGGAAGTCGCCGATCCAAACTATCGTTGCCCTTCCGTATCAGACAGCATCACGAGATGTGAAAAAAAAAAAAAAAGATAATGTGGCAGTGCATGAAAACTAAACTTCACTCCACCAGCTCTATCCAAGACGCCACATCCCTCGGCGGTTTTATGAGTTGGTTGCCGATCAAACATCAATTACGTCGTCTTGTTTGCTGACGCTTGTCGTCAATACTCGAGCATTGTTGTCACTCAGCACAAATGCCAAATATGAGAAACTGATGTTGCGATTCTTGTTTGCACGATAATATATGACAATCTTCATATTCTAGCTTTTCCCTCGAGCTTCATCACTGTTTGTTGGAACAAGAGTTTTCGCAAATGGTTCGGGTTACCATAGTTGGTAATCCATCCATCCATTCATCCATTTTTGATCCGAGCTCGCTGGATTAATCAAATCATGCCTATTGGTATATCACCGATCTCATGAACAGCATGAGCAGCCCCGAATATTCAACGAAACAGCCATCCTGAAAAAATTCGCACAATTTATCTGCATTCTGCGAGATCCCTTCACAAAAATGACTCCCTACTCCCAACCCCTTTCCCTTCCCAACCGCGAAATTCGCATCCTCATCCTTCAACCCCTAAGCCAAGGCACCCCAATTCAATGCACTGTCGAAACCATCTCTCTCCTCTCCCATCCTTCATACGAAGCATTATCTTATGTCTGGGGCGATGCCTCTATCCGACAAACCATCACATTCAATGACACTCCCTTCTCCGTTACTCAAAATCTGGCTATTGCACTACATCATCTCAGGCTACCTCTTAAACCGCGAAGACTTTGGGTTGATGCTATCTGTATCAATCAATCCGATAATAAAGAACGCAATGAACAGGTCACGCTGATGTGTGAAATTTATTCTCTGGCGAAACCAGTTTTGGTTTAGTTAGGTGAGACCTTTGAGGGGTGTGAGGAGGCTTTTGATTTGATGTCTAGAATCGCTATTGCGAGTACAGATGAAATTATGGAAGATGAGTCCCAAACCATGTTTTCCTTTTATTTTGAGCTTGTTAAGAAAGAATGGTTTACTCGTCTGTGGACCATACAAGAACTGGCACTAGCGGATCAGGAGCCTCTAGTTGGTTGTGGATCTACCTGGACTACCTGGAGTGTACTGTCAGAAGTCTGGCAAAAAGTTGCAATGATAGAATTCACGAAGATGGGAATGATTATGATGGAACGTGGCGATGAAAATGAGAATACACACAAGACTGCTGTTTCGCAGGGTGTACGCACCAGTGCTATCAAAATTGATCTTCTCAATAATGTACGCACGGCAGTTACTGATAAAAAGGGTGAAGATCTCCGGGATCTATTACTCAACACCGTTACATCTAAAGCAACAGAACCTAAAGATAGGATATATGGTTTACTCGGCATGATGGGTTCCTCAGACCGAAAAACCATCACAGTAGATTACAGTCGATCTCTAGGAACAATTTACGCAGACGCCATATCCCACATCTTTCATAAAGGAATAGGACCTTTCTTTCTTGCTGGTTTGGAACTAGCTGGTCCAAATCCCCCATTCCAATATTCTTCCTTTCCATCATGGGTGCCAAGGTTAGGCAGTGAATCTCTTCTTCATCCTACTCTCTATCATCCCCCAGGTATAGGAGTCTCGGGAGCAGGCAGCACTGCCATCAATGGCCACATATCTCCCGATCTCAAAACCCTCTACATAAGAGGTCTTCCCATCGATACCATTGCCGAAAAATTTACCTTTGGCCCAGATGATAAATGTCTCACCCAACTCGCCCACATCGAAGAAATGGTTCTCAAAGCAAAAAATCTCGCGACCCTCCACTCACATCATCGCCCCTACCTCCACACCTTCAAAACCAAAGAACCAGTATGGAGAACCCTCATCACAAACAAACTCTACACCGGAGCCGGCCGTGGAGTTGCACCAGAAGCTTATGGCGAGATGTACAACATCCTACTAAACGATAATTCGCAGGACCGCAACACCAATCATAATATTTCCTGTCAAAACAACGATAGCTCGCACAACGACGATGAGAGAATTAGAGACTATAGACTCTCTCTCCTAAACTGCCTCCCGAACTCCGCTTTCTTCATCACCACCACGGGGTTTTATGGCATGGCTCCTAAGTCGATAGAAACTGGAGATCAAATAGCGATTTGGTTTGGGGCAGCTGCTCCTTTTGTTTTGAGAAGGTGGGATGTGAAGGGACAAAACCCTTCGCATGATATTGATAGTAAGCAATCCGATACTGCAAAAGAAGGACAAAGCCACCGAGAAGGAAACGAAAAAGAACAAAGTGAGATCTTTGCAGCAGTATCCGTAGCATATGTAGCAGGTATCATGGATGGAGAAATAGTCGATGAGGTGTATTGTGAGGATTTGGAAGAAGATGTTGTGTTTACTGTTCGATAGGTAGGAGGATGATGATGGGTTTCTTTATGTAGGTAGGTAGGTGGGTTGGTAGGTGGGTTGGTAGATGATTTTTTTTTTTACTTCGAAGTTTGTGTTTTGTGAGGGAATTGTAGAATTTATTGGTTTATTTATTTTTCTATTTATATACATATCTTTATATACCTACCTAGATAGGTAGATAGATAGATATATAATTCAAGATCGAGATTAAGAATTTTATATTAGATAATAGATTACTTGTGAGTTTTACATATATAATAAATGAATAGATGGATAGATAAACAAATGAGTAGATAGGTATCTAGATAGATATCTAGGCAGGTATAGTTTATACATACAAAATCTAGATACTCAGATATTCATATTCATAATAATAATTATCTATCTATCTATCTACCTAATTATATTCATAATATATAAAATATACTTACTATATACCATCTCATTCTATATATATATATATATATATATATATATATATATTTACCTGTCTATATACCCCCCCCCCCCCTTCCTTCTCGCCTCTCTCCCCTACTCTCTCTCCCATTCTATTTCTTACCTCAAGCCCCAGATTGAATACTACATACTACATTGAACACTCAATTCTAAATTTTAAATTTTAAATTTCTATAAATTATCTTGTTATTTTACTACCTATCTTATTATCTCACCACCTCGTTACCTCGTTACCTCATTATCTTACTATCTCACTACCTACCTTCATCCATCCCACCAATCACAATCACAATCACATCCCCTCCCCCTCCCCTGCCTCTGCCCCCCCCCTCCTTCCCCTCCCATCCCATCCCATCCCATCCCATCCAGCTCCCTAACAACATTTCAGAAAATAAAGAATACCTCGATACCTATCTACCTATCATACCTACCTACAATCCTACCATAACTAGCCCTGGAGGTATCAACACTTACAAACATTAATTTTCCCCTTAATCTCATATAATAATAAATCTCCACCACTTAGGTACCTACCTATACCTAGGTACAAAGAACAACAATTGATTTAATCTTCCTTCCTTCAATCTCATTTTTATATATATAAACACACTCATCCCATCCATCTAGATAACATCTGTATTCTCTCAATCACATTCACCCCCATTCCTCGGCTCCCGCACAAAACCCACGTGAAACCCCCCTCGTTTACCCCCCCCCCCAAAAAATGATTTCGTCACAAAACTCTCCTTCAAATTGTGAAACGAACTGCTTTTTTTTGGACGCATCCCCGTGCGATATTCCTTGTATTTATGTATTTGCATGTGAATAAATGCCATCCGACTTTTGCGGAATACTATACGTTGCTAGTATGCTATGCTATGCTACATTGAGCCTCCCAATTATTACTATATATGTGTACCCTTTCACTCCCAAGCTCGCCGGCATCTTTTTTCCCTTTCCCTTTCCCTTTCCTTTCCTTTCCTTCCCATTCCTTGCTCTGCCCCAATTCTCCCAGTCCCAGCCAATCTTTCCAGCTGTCAACTATAGTGATTGCAGCATCCAATATGAAATTTCCGCCGCCGTCGTTGCAACTGATGCATCCTTCTTCGAATTTTCGCCAACCCATCCATCCTATAATACAATTTCCATCCACCCAATTCCCCCCTATTGCTGCCCGGCCCAGCTCTGTCCAATGCCCAATGCCCAATGCCCAATTGACCGAAGCCCTATTTCCAATTTTTCATCACGGCCCTACGCGTGAGTACCAATATCACCCTGGGTATACCGGCCCGAAGAAACAATTCGCGAACCTGCGAGTAAAGAGAAGGAAAAAAACGCTTAGAGAGAAATGATAATGATGGGAGAGTAATCGACAAAAAGAAAATATGGAGAGAACGCTATTCAGATGAGTATGTGCGAGTTCCATGCATGCCCAGCGCCGCCTCGAAGCTGCCCGGTATCTCCATACCAGGCCCTGCTATATGCACCCAGCCCCAGACCAGAAAGTTACGCAAGAAAAGGAGAGGCTTCAAGATGTGTCTATATAGCCAGTCCCTACCCGAAGAACAACAAATGAAAACCAAAGAAGCCATACGGCCATAAATGGCGACGATTGATAAAAAAAATGAAAAGAGAATAAAAGAAAAGAAGAAGAGACTGAGTATGGTTATATGCAATGAAACGGACAAATGAAATGGGTATTTTGTTATCGATGAGACGCCCTTTTAGATGAAGGTCAATGCAGCGCCTATTTTGTCTGATGGATGGTAACTCTCTGTAACCTTATTGATAATATTCTGGTTGTGATGTTGTCACAATATGTGCGGGGGGACGGCTTTCGTAAGGATCTCTCAGAGGAAGACCAAAATGACCCTGCTCTGGATATTGCCCCATGTTAAGACTTTCTCCTGGTAGTGGCTCATATGCAGTGTCTCTCCGATAGCCGGGAAATCCAGGAGCGATGGGACTTCTCCCGAAATTTGATGGCGGTAGCATTCCGGTAAGACCACTGTGTGAAATGTGTGATCTTGGTGGATATCCCATAGCTGGATAATCGGTTGTCTGCCTGTGATTCAATGGATTGGGCTCTGACAATATAGGAACGGTCGAATGCAGTGGCCCTTGCGAATGTGCATGATAGTATGTGGGAGATGGGCGCTGATTACTCATATCAAATTGTAAAGATCTGGGTTGAGGTGAGTCATGGATGTGGGTATTCGAGAGTTGATTCGAAAAGAACTGATCTCGAACCGGTGTAGTCATTTCCTGGGGAGAATGTGCATAATTTGAGGAGTTATAGTCGTTGTAACTCTGCAAAGGGTGTTGGCTTGGAACATGATGGCTAGCAAAAGAAGATTGCTGCTGATGCTGATGCTGCTGCTGTACATTAGCGTACCCTCTAGGCCATTGAAGTGAATCGGCAGAAGCTTGTTGATTGAAATTTGGGCTTTGCGATTGGCTTGAAAGGGTATCAGTCCTTACACGCTTCAACCGGCGTTCTTCCGGCGACGAGGATTCCTGAGAATAGACCGAGTATCTATCTTGCATACGTGTACTTTGATGGGGGGCATGTTGTTGTTCGCTGTATTTACTCGCCTCTGGAGAACCCGACTCTTCGTCCGGCTCTTGAATTCTGGCACGATACTTCTTGGGCTCGTAATCATCAAACGCAGGACCGCGCTTTCTGAGCAACGACCGAGGCTCCTTACGAACCCTCAACTTGAGCCCCTGCTCCTGGAACTTTTTGGTCATAGTGGTCGACTCCATCATTCCAGGAAAAGCTTTTGACGAATATACGTTAAATTGATCTGACGAAATGCACCCCATCCACACCACTTCATCTTCGCGGCTCTCGAAAAGATTGAACTCCAATATATAGGTACCTTCTATCTTGGCCGACAAATCGCCAAATACAAAATACGCGCCCCACTCGTCAGTTTCCGGATCCTTCAGACGATGACAAGATGAAACAGTAGTGCCTGCTAGTAAAGCTCCATGGGATGTCCCAACTTGCATATCTGTGACTGGCGTAAGACTACTTTTCATGAAGAAATGTGGGTCTGTAAGAGTTAGCAATTGAAAGAAAGCGACAGAGAATGCCTTCATACTTATAATATAACGTTCACTGGGGTCAACCGCGTGGGATATTAAAAGCTGAACAACGGGCGGAGGGTCGACTGCTCGACGGTCTGGAGACAATTTAGATTTATGCCAATGCAGAAGACTGTAGGCCAATTTACCTTTCTCTTTGCCCATGTTAACTCTCGCGTAGCGAGGTTGTTGTCTTATGACGAGCTTGCAGTCTTGGCTTCATTATCATACATCAGTAGTTGTTCGAGCAATGGCAAATTTGAAAGTATGGCTGGGCTAATGGGGGCATACCTTTGTAATCCAGGAATCTGGAGAGATTGTGCCTGCGCGAAGTCGTGCGATGGTTGAGAATTCATACTTAATATTATAAATTATTTTATCTAGATTCGAGATCTCTTTATTCCTCGGTTTGATCGTATACTTTTGTGCTGTGCTTGCGCCACAGATGTATAAATCGACAGTTCGAGTATTGTGTGACTAAAAAATAACAAAAAATGGGCTCGGGAATAGAGGAGGTAGTGGAGAGGCAAGATGTTCTTCTATATCCGAGATCTCGTTATTTTCTGATGAATTGTACTTGCGATAGAGGTAAGTTTGGCTGGCGTTTGCGAGTCCAAGTCCGAGTCCAAGTTTGAGTTTGAGCCCGACTCCTAATTACTAACAAGGAAACAAACAACTGCGAAGAAGCTTTGTACTGATAGATAGGAAGGTGAGATTCCTTGGTCTTGTTGTTGTATGGCGTCTTGTGGCTGCGATGAAGGTAAGAGTAATCGATTTTTGAGAGTATGTGGAAGGGTGTAGGTAGAATTGAGGACAACCAGAAAGTACTGGCGTTGAATGAGAGAAGATCGGGAAGCATATGTTCTAGATTTCTGATGCTGTTTTAAATGATTTATAACCGTACTGGTGGTTATAGGCCTGGATAATCTTTGAAGAAGTCGAGGTCCCTTCGAGGTAGTGCCGCCCAAGACAGTCCGCAGCTACAGTGTCTCCTCCTTTCGATCTTATGATATACGCCAGAGAACTGTACTTTCTGTCAAGGTGTGTATGTGGACGCGAAGGAACGCTGGCAATAATGAGAGGGGACCGCCTCTTACGTTCAAGAGAATATGGAGGCTCTGGGTTTGGTGTCTTGTTGTTTTGAGACTGAACTTGATATCGAGGAGATTCTTGAAATATCAGATGCGAAAACCAATGGACAGAATTCTCCACTTTGATGATGATTATGATAAATGAGGAACTCTTGGCGACGATATCAATGCCGTGAATGTAGAGTTATCCAAGATCCTCGAGTCTTCGATACAGGTGAACTTGTAGGTACACAAGGTAAAGATTCAACGGTCGTGTATTGAAGAAATGCAAACTGACAAAATGCGACTGATGTAAAGGACTGGGTGAGTAAGACTTTAAGCAGTTCTGATTGGTGCTTCACGAGCAGCGATACTCGGTACTCG